TGTTACATATATGTACATGCTAGACAACTGTTTGGTTTGCAGAATCCATTTCGCATTGTCCGATAAAAACAAATCACTGTTGATGACCTTAAATGAAACAGACTGCTGAATGCGCAGAACTTACTTGAAAGCTGAGAGCACGTTTCAGGAGTGGAATTCGTGCGGGTGAAACGAGCATATTCACTTGTTGACTTCTTGTCTCATCGTCTTTGCACTTCTGGTCGAACACTTCGGATCGATGCAGAGCCGTCGTGCTCGAACTTCGGGCTCGTGGCAACGTTACTGATGGAGCACTCGAGGTGATGCGACTCGTCGACGCTTGCACATCTTCATTTGACATTACTGCAACAATTTTGACTTGTTACTAACGATAAGAGAAATTTTGCCGGCAGCAAACATCGAGACGGGTTCACGATTGATCGTTGACGCTGTGAAACTTCCGTAAATTTGGGTTCTCTGACAGGAAACGGAACGTATAATTCGCATTGATAAAAGTAGAATTTAAACTGTAAATGATGATGATGATGAAGATATTTTCTGCTGGATACTTATGATGGTTAACGACATGAAATTCTTGATTATTTGACACAGAACTTAAATTAGGCATAGATCCACTGCACAAAACACACCAAAACAGTGACATATTCGGCAAAAATCGATCAACTGAGAATACAAAAACGGTTTTTCTCAAACGTCTTAAAAAGCAACTCCTTTAGGATGCATCCCTACTGAATAACGATTGATGATATTCAATATTGGACCACACCCAACTATTCAATGACATGAGTAGTAATCTCTAAAAGTCATCATCCATCCATCACAAACTAGAAGAATGAGGCAATACGAACATTGATTGCCTCATTCTTCCAGTTTATCCCTCCCTATCCACTTGCACCAAACTCAGAGTTGTTGTTGCGTGTTTGAATTCGCTGTCATCTTCACGCTCTGCTCTCTTCATAGATCTACGCTTAAGCTTGTGTGCATGTATCAAAAGTAGAGCGGTTCGAGTTGATAAACAATGCATGCAAGCTGCACACATCAATAAACTCAGTTTATCTTTAAGCTCTTTGCTTACGGCCATGCGACCAAATGAAACGACGCACTCATGTTATCCACATTTGCACATTGTTTTTGCTCGTCATCGGTCTGTGATTTCACTGCATATCCAAACTTTTCAAAATGTTTCCCAATACACCTCCAAAACGAACAGACTCGATCCCTCGGTCTGCCAGCAATACACCGCTATCCTCTATACACCGTCCACACACGGCTGCCAGCATACTCATCATTGAATATTGCAAACGAATGCACACATGAGAATTCGATGTCCGATGCACCGTTTCTGGGATATGAATGATGCATTTTAAAGATTCATCGTTGCAGTGGGAATATATGAAGTAGCATATGGGTCCCTTAGGTAGGAATCACTCATTTTTGAGTAATTTAGGGGTGGCACGGGGGTAATAGAGGAGGTCGGGAAGTTACTTCTGACGTTATGCGTGGAAATGGTATACTATTGTAGTGGGAAGGGGTGGAGGAGGGTAATGACGGCCTGCCAAACCATCGAAGGGGGTCATGGAGCAC